CTAAAGTACAAAGTATATAAAGTATGTAAATCGGATGTAATTCGACTGTGTTCGATATGGAGAATTCTAAATCGCTTGTTCTGATATTTTAAAACGCATTTATCCGACGATATTTTAAAACGCATTATATTTTATTCGTGATCAAAACAAATATATTTTTGTAAATTATAAGCAATACTTACGTGTAAAATGTCGATATCGGTGTCAGTGGTGTTGCGCCTCTGTCGAACCGGTGGACCCACGTCTTTCTTAGTTCCATCCGGAAGTGCATGGAGATAGAAACATTTATTACCGAACGGACACTTTCCACGACCTTTGTTGAAGTATTTGCAATCCTTAGTACTGTAAGAGAAAAGACAAATTGTTAAAACATGATAAAATAAAGATAGATTATCTATCATCTCGTACCTCAAGGCGCCTTTGTAATCTCTTATTAACTTTTCCTTCTCCTCCTTTGTGTCCACCCAATACATACTAGGACAGACGAAATCTGAGGGGATACGACATTCTGGGCATGCTCTTATGATTTTGTTGTCGAACTGTTTGGCTTGGCGCCACTTTCTGATGCAAGTTAGGCAGAAGCAGTGATTGCAATTCGGCAATATACCAAATCTCTGTTCTCGCGAGGACTTTTCCATTATTGTCTCGAAACAGACGCCGCAAGATTTTTCTTTGCTGCGTTGAATGGCAAAGGATAATTCCATATCTGCTTCATGTTGCTTCACGCATGCCTGTATAAAAAGTTGAGATATTCTTTAGCAAATATTCGATATATAATAAACTTAATAAAAAATATTTAATATATAAATCTTAATAAATATTAAGTTATCAAAAATACAGTTAAGCCGTACACATATATACAATAAAAGAAATATTTAAAACAAAAATAAAAAATGAAAATATAAATATTAGAAATGAAAAAATTGGAAATAGAGATTAAACGTAATGCACAAGATACAAATAAAATAAAAAACAAATTTGTATATCTTATATTTTATTTGTATCCATTGTGCATTACGTTTTTATACCTAATATCTAATACTTTTTTCCTAATCATCCTTTGTGCGTATAATCTTAAAGAAATTTAGTAATTGTTTAATTTGCTCTTAATATCTACTGCACGCAAAAAATAGACATACAGAATATAACCCATAAAATATTTAAGTTAATTCAATATAATTAGCAAGAAACAACGAAATAAGAACTTACATTGTTATGTTTCTTCCTCAATTCTTCATTGTGTGGATGAAGGACTGCACGGCTACAAAATTCGCAAATGTCACCGTGTAGATATGTGCAATTTGAATTTCTACAGATTCCAGTTGCTTCTGCATAAGGACACAGAGGTTCTAAGGAAGGGCTCGAAGCTTGACCAGTTGGATTAACAGCTTGAGCATACGAGACTGGCATCGACGTACTTGGGGATGTTCCTGAAGTAGATGACATTCCATCTATAGAGGATGATCCGGCGATCGGAGATCCAGTCGTAGGTATAAACTCAGGTGCCTTGACCCATTCTTCAGCAGTACGTTTTTCAACTTTTCTGCAATTACACATCATTATATGTATGATTTAGTTAGTTGTGTGTGTGTGTGTGTGTGTGTGTGTGTGTGTGTGTGCGCGCGTGCGTGCGTGCGTGCGTGCGTGCGTGCGTGCGTGTGTGTGTGTGTGTGTGTGTGTGTGTGTGTGTGTATTTTTCCTGTAAATTTATATACTATCTCAGTCTAATTTATATTATCTCATTGTAACCTTAAGGATCGACAGGATTGATAAGCCAATTCATTTACATCTCATTTATGATGCAGCTACATGCACTACATGAAATTTTGCAATTTTATTTTTAAAAATATTTTAATAAATAAAATAATATGCTCCTTATTTACGATACAGATTCATGTTTTATGCTGATATTTTATCTTCAAGAAGTAATATTACGTCATAAAACTTTTTTGATTTATTTTTTTAAGCTGCGAAGGGGGGCGCATACAAAGCTGATTTTGCAAATTTCTTCAAAAATTATAATAAATAAAATTATGTGCAACTCAACTGCACTATAGTATACATCGGGTGAGAGATCGCTATTTAGCCATAATTTCAATATAAAGAAATTCATATCACAAGTGCAGATTTAGATCAGTTATGCTGGTTTTTTTTCTCGAAGAAATAATATATTTTTATGAAACTTTTGGGATTTTCTTTTTATATTGCTAGAAAGGTTCATATAGAGTCAAATTTTGCAAATTGATTCTTGAAAAGTTTTGTTAATAAAATTATGTATATCTTAACTGCACTATAGTACATATCGGGTGATATCAGAATAAATTTTTATTTTAAGCGTAAGAAGTGACGAAATAAGTCTCTCTAATATTAACAATAAATAAGGAAAAGTACACTAGCAAGAGAATCAAGTGCAGTAATTGGAACGCAACAAAATTATCAGTGATTTATTAATCAATAAATAACAAACATTTTGGCATCATTCCGAGTCAATTTTTATTTTGTCTTTTTTAAAAAAAAAATCGCTATATACGAGCCTTTAGGAGCCTTTAAGAATCTTTTCTGATTACGAATATCGCAATTGAAATGCGATTTATCCAATATTTTAGCCGTAATTTCAAAAATAAAGAAATTCGTCTTCGACTAGAGATCTCCATCTCTCCTGTCGATCCTTAATTAATAAATTCCTATATTCTGTAACTTTTTATATTCTGTAATGACAACAATGTCAATATCATTAATGCTTGAGACACGATAAAAAGTACAATAGAGAATAACAGATTTCAACCTATCAGAAACCATGCATTCTATACATGATTTCAACCTATCAGAAACCATGCATTCTAGTATATATGATTTCTGATAGGTTGAAGTCTCTTATTCTCTGTTCCTATTTATATTTTTTAATTAGGCTTTTGCATTAGGCTTAAATTACAGAATAACAGAATGAGACAGTATATATACAAGAAGATAATATATATCTTTCTCGTAGAATTTTTGACAAAATTGCTTATAGCGAAACTTTGTTCTGTATTCTATAACTTTTTTAATGATGCCAGTATCGTTACATTGTGTTAGCAGAGAAATCTACTCAGTGATTCCTTAACATGGTTTTGTCTTTAGTTCTTCGCGAGAGCTAAGTGTAGGAATCAATTTCGTATTAGACTCACTGAGAATTCAATGAGTGTCATCAGTTTTCTGCTGAACGCAGCTATTTCGTTGCATAGCTTTTTTAAAATGTGTAAAATCTATGCAACAATATAATGATATCGTTTCTGCCATTAAGGCTTGGTTTTTTATTTCCTGATTAACTTGTAGTTAAGCGTAACCTGACGTTAATATAAAAATTATATTTTTCTATCTTTAGTTAATCACTAAACTGATGATTTTATAGTGAATAACTTTTAAAGTTACTAGTACAAAATCATTAATTTAATGATTAATCATAATTAGAAAAAATATAATTTTTACATTATCATTGAATTAAGTGAAGTTGAATTTAAACATACTATAAGTTAGTCAGACAATAAAAAAATCTGACCTAAAAGTTACAAAATAAAGGGGTTCTGTTACAGAAGATCTGCTCTTTTTAGCTAACATTCTTGCATTTTTCTTCATTTTTCTTCTTTTTCTCTATACGATGCAAGAAGTTCAACTTAAAAAAACAGAAGAGTAGAATTTCTAGATTTAGAACTGAATGCATAAATAGGATTTATGAGTTGAATATCTAAACTTACTTATTTCTCGATGAGTTTGATGTATGCTGACTCAAGGCTGCATTCTCTGTTGCATCTATCTGCATGGTGTTGCTATCTGTGATACCTGAATTGTGGCGGAAACGGCACTGACTACCGAACTTACACATTCCCTGTTTGAAGAAGCGACAAGTGACAATATAAGCAGAGCTATGGGTTGATGCCTCGTTGATACTTGCATCATTTCTATTCCCTTGTACATGTCGATACCGGCAGTTGTTCCCCTCGCGGCAAGTGCCATTCTTGAAGTATCTAAAACAAAACATGTCATTATTCGTCACGGCAAAAAGCACAGGACAAAAATCATCGATGAGACGCGTGTCACGTTTGAAATCATCGTGAAATCCGTAACGATGAGAGAGACGAATATCCGCCTAGTGTCAATATTTATATTATTGTATTCGAGTGTCTTGATCGAATGTTGCTATTCCCTAAGGCGACTAACCTCTCCATCTCGGTTTATGTAAATTTCAACTGGGTGTGCAAATATCTCCCGCGAGGAATCTCTCTGCGAAACACAAGACGCGCGAAACGCCCGTTATAGTCTCTTACCGGCAAGCGATATTCTGCGTCCAATTGTCGGCCATTTTCTCGTTTCTCTTCCGCTATAACGATGATCGACGATGCGTCGTTCTTTGAAATGCCTTGGATGATGAGTCGAGCGCGCGTTCACTATGAAGAAGGAAGGAGAGACAGAGAAAAAGAGAGAAAGGAAAAAGAGAGAAATACGTGTTTTCGGAGCAGAGCGGAGCTCCGGCTCCTGCGATCGTGAGTTCCGCCTCGACGACAACAGTCAACCGGAGAGCAGCCGCAACACAACCTCCTGGTGCAGGAAGCACGCTCAATTTTTCGTGTGATTATTACCAGGCAATAAACACACTCCTGAATGCGATGTGTGCGTCGAGTACTCGCGCGCGCGCACGTATCCGTCCGTCCTTCCTGCTCGCCCTCTCCAACGACTCCAACTTGCTCGGCGCTCCGCTCGTTAAAACGCGTGTCACCGCGCGACGTAAACGTCACGCACCACCTTGCGTCTCGACCCGAGCCCGAGTGTCGCCGAGTGTTGCTCCTCTTTCTTTCTTCACCACGATCGTCACGACCTTCTCCGTCGCGACGTTGACGTTAAATCCTCCTTTTCAGAACGGTGTCAGCAAGCCCCAACAATTTTATCTCTGCCGACGGCAATCCTTATTTAAGAATTCTAACTCCTTCGTCGCTAACAAGTAGAATCCTTGGACACTTATTCTATAACACGATTATCTGTTAATTCGGTAGAAGCGACGTTATCGAATTAATCGAACGACACACTGAGCGGATTTATCAAACACTGCCGAGTGTCGTTCCGACGAAGCGATTACCCACCTGACTGGCTTACAACAACCCGCATCTCTCCTTAAACACAAGATCTTCTCATCGCACTCCAGTACAGTCCAGTGCGAATCTCGAGAATCTTCTGAAACGAATTGTTGGAGTCGTTGGAGATACGAGACGCACACGACATCCACTATGATCCACGGTATTCGCGTGCACTCGCGTGCGAACACTTGAGTACTCACGCGCGGTCATTGAACTCGGCCGAGCCGCCCTGTTTGCTTATCGGCACACTCGTCTTCCACATATTCCATAAATTGCAAACGGATCGCACTTGCGTGTTTTCTCGACGCCGATATCACTGTAATTGTCGAACCTGTCTCAAAAGGGAAAGCGAAAAATGGTTTCGGAATTCGATTCCGCAGAAACGTCGTGAAGTTAGGCACGCGCTGTGAATTGATCGTCCAATGACAGCATCAGATTCCGTCCCCACGGTGGACTCCTTTCACGGTAATTCGCTGGCTTGAATTGTCGAAGTTGTTATTGCTCAAAACGGTAAATAAATCGGGATCGCTGGGTTTTGTTTCAAAAATCGCGCGCTTGGTGGCACAATTGCTTTCGGACAGCGGTAAATAACAAATTCTGTAAATATATTCATATATTCTGTAATATTCTGTAATATTTTTATAGATGTTCTTCTGTAAATCTTTGAAATTTATGATATTTTCTTCAAAATGTATGAGATCTGGAAGTGTGTGTGTGTGTGTGTGTGTGTGTGTGTGTGTGTGTGTGTGTGTGTGTGTGTGTG